ATATATATATATATATATATATATATATATATATATATATATATATATATATATATATATATATATATATATATATATATATATATATATATATATATATATATATATATATATAGTTGTTATTGAGTTATGAAAATGCGGAAAACATAAGCATGCATTTATGTGCAAAACACGAGAAAAACATGTGTGAAAAATATAAGAATGCAATTGTTTAATTTCAAAAAGACTAAACGACATGTTATATTTAATGCACACCGAGTATACGGCCTGCTTCAAACACATAAGATTATCTTACAAGCATTATACGTGCTATATAATACTATACTTATAGTTACAGTATACATATCCATGCAACCCAAATGGATATATACTCTATTTATCATTCCTATTTGTATATATTTATATGTGGTATAGCTGGATAAATCGGCATTTTGAAAATTCGGAGTTTGCTCTTCAGCTTATTCGCATTATTTTATTTCTTATTCTCTAATTCTTCAAATAGCCTTGGAAAAAGAAAATTCTTCAGCGGAAGCGCGCGTTTTGTTTGGCCACGCTGTTGCTGTACCGACGAACAAATTGAACTTATTATACCATTATATATAGGCTCACAGACAAACATATATGTATATACCTGCAAATGTTACTGCATGCATGTGCATTGTAAAAACAGATTGGTCGAAATAACCAATTTAAATTGGTTGTCTCAGACGCATTAATTTATTTAACCAATTTTTATTGGTTAAAACAACCAATATTTTGGTTGTTAGTTTGACCAAATACAATTGGTCAAAAAGAAATGTGTCTCATGAGACAACCAATTTAAATTGGTCATTTCAACCTATCTGTTTTTACAGTGTTTTAGCTTAAAGTGGTGTTAAGAGGGTCCTGAAGGGGGGTCGTATTCCCATTTCCCAGCCCAAATTTTGACTAAATCCCATTGTCCCAGAGCACAAATCCCATCATCTCAGTGCCTGTCTTGCTCAAATCATAATCCCATTCCCATTTTCTATTGATTTTTTGCTGATGAATCCCAGTCCCAGTGCATGAAATCCCATTTTCCCACCCAAAAATAAGCAAATCCCAGTTCCCATTTTACCCCTTCAGGACCCTCTGTTAACAATACAAACTTAACAAAATAATCAATATAATTAACTTAGTTTGTTTACTTTGTCTTTGCATGATATTCTGATGTTATTGAAACTTTGTTATTGACGCTGACTCTATTCATACTGCAGATCTTCCTTCATCAAAGCACACGCAGACAAATATGACATTCTGCGCTGCTAATTAATAGGCAACCAACCTCCGTGATAACAGTCAATGCATAAATTCTCAAATTTAACGAATATATTATAGATTCACGTTATAATTATATGTTTCTGTAATATATAGACATATATAGGCTTCAAATCTTCTAAATTTTACTTCTTTGCATCATAGATATCTTTGCTTTGCATGCAATTGCAGAGAATCGTTACCGCGCTCTAATTGGCACTTTAACAATAACCTTGCATGGCTTGGCATGCTTGGCCTGTTCTCTTGATCTTCTCGGACGTGTCATTATTTATTGAATAAATTAAACGTTGCATATTTTATGTCAGAAATGGTGGCAATACTATAGTATAAATATATTTCCTTAAAATCTCGCACTGCATGCACCAAACGCGGCATATTGATTATATATGCATGGACTGTTTACATTCCTAATGAGTAATGCACCATTATTATGCAAAACGTTACATCAAACATTATTATTATTTTTTTTTATTATTATTATAGAAAGATTACACATTGAATAGCTACAGTAGGTAACTAAATTAGAACGCGCATTACATATATATAGAAAATATACATTAATTACTGAACTATCTACATTAGGTATTATAAAAGTTTCAAATGAGATATTTATATTAAAAAAAGAGAGTTATTAACAAAGGTTCAAATGGCGAAACAAATGGACTGATCCAAAAACTATCACTACGTGTTAAAAATGTTTCGATAAAAATATATAAAGTTATATTATATATTATATTATAAAATAGAGTTATTATAGAGTTCAATTGACGAAACGATTGGACTGTTCCGAAAACGTTCTGTTCTGTAGTGGTAATTGTAAAACAATTGACCATTCTGACGTGTAACCCTTTGCCGTACCTTGCAAAGTTTATTAGGAAGAAGATGGTGCAGTTTGTGTTGCGGGTCAGACATTTTACTGATAAGATCAATGCACATAGTATTGCGACGTTGTTCAAGCGTATGCATTCCAGCTTTCAACAATAACTTTTCGTAATCTTTTTCGGAATAAATTATTCTCAAAGCCCTTCTTTGTACTTTCTCAATACTGCTGCTCTGTGCTTTAGTAAGGCCCCCATGCCAGACTTGCGCTCCATATTCAAGTGTCGGCCTGATGGCAGAGATGTAAAACCGTTTCATATCAATCTTGTCAGCACCGTATTTCTTTAAAGTTTTTAATAAAAAGAGTCGCTTAACTGCTTTCCCTATTATATAATCAGTATTAGTTTGCCACTTTAAATTATCGTCAATCCATAAGCCCAATAGTGTGAAAGTTGAAACCCTTTCCAACGTTGTATCATTGAATGTTAGTGGTGGAATAACTGTTTTGTTCTGACGGAAATCTAACTGCATTTCCTTACATTTTTTCAGGTTCAACTCCATTTTTTGAGACGTGGCAAAATCCATAACTTTCATAATATTATTGTTCATATTCCCAACTTGCGTACCCGAGACATGATCACGGACGTTAATAACCTCTGACAATGTTGTATCATCCATGAAAAGAGTGAGGTCATCATCACCATCATCATTATCATCATTGCTTGAATTAGTCAAACTGCTCTCGGTATCTTTTATCACTGCCTTCAGTCCGTTAATGTGAACGACGAACGCGATTGGACCAATACGACTACCTTGGGGAACTCCCCCATTAATCATGCATCTTGTAGAAAGTTCGTTACCAAATCCTGTGACTTGCATCCTCTTACTCAGATATGACCCCAACCAGCCAATAAGCCCCGGTCTGACTCCAATTTTACAACAGTTGTCTAATAGCAGG